GGCGGCGACGCGGCCCCGGCGCGCATGGAGCCCGCGGCGGCCCTCAACGAGAGCGCGGCGCCCTCGCCCTGGCTGCCGGCCCGCGGTGGCAACGCCTCGCTGGCGCTGGCCTCGCGGCCGCCCGCACCCCCCGCCATCAACCCCTGGGACGTGATGCTCTGCGTGTCCGGCACGGCCATCGCCTGCGAGAACGCCATCGTGGTGGCCATCATCTGCTACTCGCCCGGCCTGCGCACGCCCATGTTCGTGCTCATCGGGAGCCTGGCCACGGCGGACCTGCTGGCCGGCCTCGGCCTCATCCTCAACTTTGTTTTCCAGTACGTGATCCGCTCGGAGACCGTCAGCCTCATCACCGTGGGATTCCTTGTTGCCTCCTTCACAGCGTCCGTGAGTAGCTTGCTGGCCATCACGGTCGACCGCTACCTTTCCCTCTACAACGCCCTCACCTACTACTCGGAGAGGACCGTGCTGTGCATCCACACCATGCTGGTGGGCACCTGGGGGGTCTCGCTGTGCCTCGGGCTGCTGCCCGTCCTGGGCTGGAACTGCCTCCACGACTACGCTGCSTGCAGCATAGTCAGACCCTTGACCAAGAGCAACGTGACTCTGCTCTCTGCCTCTTTCTTTCTGATTTTCATCATCATGCTCCATCTCTATATCGAAATCTGTAAAATCGTTTGCAGACATGCCCACCAGATAGCCCTCCAGCAGCACTTTCTGACTGCCTCGCACTACGTTGCTACCAAGAAAGGGGTGTCTACCCTGGCTATCATCCTGGGGACTTTCGGGGCGAGCTGGCTGCCCTTTGCCATCTACTGCGTGGTCGGAGACCCCGACTACCCTTCCGTGTACACTTACGCCACGCTCCTACCGGCCACTTACAACTCCATGATCAATCCCATCATTTACGCCTACAGGAATCAAGAAATCCAGAGGTCCATGTGGGTTCTCTTTTGTGGCTGCTTTCAGTCTAAAGTGTCCTTTCGCTCCCGGTCCCCTAGTGATGTCTAAGTGACTTTTCTCTTTGTAGTAACTGCACAAAGTGACAATCTACTTAGTGAGATATTACAGTGCCTGTCATAAACTTCAACCTATGATGTGAAGTCAGTGGAAACATGCTTAAAGATTAGCACTTTATACATGTTTGTATCTTTGAGAGTGTTCAGGGTAGGGGGGGTTTCAGCTCYGTGGAAAAATAAAGTGGTTGTATATAAATTTGCACATCACATTTGTAAAGTGAAGACATTCCAATACTGCTTAATTAGAGCACCTTATTTCTTCTAGCTGCTGACCTGCCGAAACAGTGTTGCCATTTTGAAGGGCAGAGAGAAAGTAAGTTGTGTGTTTGTGGTGTCTTTGTTTGTGTGGAGGGGTGTGGATGTACGTATGTATGTATGTATGTGTGGAATTATATTTTGCTGCACAATATTGGTAAACTATAACATTTTGTACACAAATAAAACTATTTAAGATGTAATATAATTTTGTGTGTTTAAATGATCYGAGGCATACGACAGCTTGAAAGCAAAGTCCTTTTATTTACTTTTGAAAACTTACCACAGAGTTCTGCCTGAAGAGATCATCAKTTACTACAGAGATGAAATATTCCATCAGGGCAGGTCGCCTTGTTTGTTTGCTTGCTTGTTTATTTTCTCCTTCACCGTGTCACATTTATTGAGCAGCAAACTAACAGAAACCCCAGGCAAATAGGCTGCTGCTCTTTCTCCTGCTTTCCAGCAGCTTTCATCTTTGAGTTACAGGTTCCTCCTTTATGATAATGGCACATTAAAAAGTTACTGAACTGGGGAAAAGAAACAGGTGCCAAGCCATAAACTTTTTTTTTCTCCTCCTTTAGTCTAATACAGATGCAGAATAAAGTGGGAAAAAAAAAAAAGAAAAAAAAAAGTCACAGACTTCTTTCCTGCAGGCTTGTGAGAGTCTACAATAGATTGACTTTCCTTATCACCCACAGGAAACCTGAGTTGTTCCCCCCTGCTTTATTGTACCGCATTCTATAGAAAAATCATTTAAGTGCATCTCTGCTGTCTCCTGTCTCTGGGGAGCAGGGTGCAGTTTTCTGGCAGCCCCGGGGCTTGGTGACTTCAAAGAGGGTATCAGAGGTGAGTGTTGCTCAGGGTTGGAAACTTGTTTACTCAGAGTCAAACTCACAGGTGACTGGCTTTTCTGGAACGGCAATGTGCACGCAGCAGGCTTCAAAAAGAGCGTTGGGACTTCTTTATTTATAGCTGCTTTACATTTACTTTACAGTTGTAGTTTGCAACTTGCATTTTGGCTTGTACTGCAGGGCTGAAACACATTATCCCTGTGCAAATGATGCCACAGAAAGAGCAGGAATAATGTGTTTCCAAACTTAGGGCTGGGCAATGGGCCTCACGCATTTGCCTCCTGGCAGCCACAAGGACCCAACAGACCACAAGGAGGCTGCAAAGCTGCATTTATGCCTGAACAGCAGGTACTATGACAAACTCTCCGAGTTCACCGTTAATACAAAAACGTCTCCTTTTAAGTGCAATGTGATCAGCAAGCCGTCTTCCAGACTCRTTATTTTTACCGGTAGGAGTTGGGTACCAGTCGACAGAAGGGCTGGAAGTCCAGCGAGCAAACTGCAGTAATCACAGACGTGACAGGGTGATTGATTAAGAGAGTCAGGCACTCGCTTCCCCAGAGAGCTGTTGCACTGATGTTGTAAGTGTGATGTGAAACAGAGCTCGAGACAGGTCAAAATGCCTATCAGATTAACCATTCTATAGTTGCTAGTTAAAAAAGATGCTTTTCCCCCTCTCTTACGAGCCTCCTGAAGCTGTAAGCCCCCAGAATTTTTAATCTCTTTGTTTCTTAAGTTCTTTGTTATTCCTAGACTTCAGTAGAACTGCAGCAACCGAATTGCAAGAAGCGTTGTTGAGCCACAGGTGCTGAGTTTGCACCTAGATTTTAGCTGCTCCTAGGGCTCCTGTGCAGCCTCCTGAGGCCGGTACTTGCTCCAAAAGCCTCCGGGGAGACTTCTTGTGCCGACACTTGGACATCCAAGGCAAGTAGACGGAATTTACTGGAAACCATCGCAGATGCCCATAATCCTACTAGGCATTTGCTTCACCGTGAGTTCTTTGAGCAGCTGCAGTTTGTGTAAAAATCAGGTACAGAAAATGTAGACAGAGAGAGTCCCCCTTCAGTAACAACACACTTCCTACAAGTCATTCAAACCCTCCCTCCTCACTGCAACTGTGCATGTCAACGTTTTTTAGATCAACGTGCGCTTGCTTTTCTTACCACACGAGCCCATTTTTATTTTAGCACGACTGCCAGGAATATGCTCTATCTACAATATAGCATTCTGCTTTTAAAATTCTTCTTCTAAAATGACAATACTTCAGAAGTGTTTTAGATAAGCGTTCTTCCACTCTTCTGAGAGGCACTTTGGCGCTACAGTGATCTCAGCCATTCACACTGTGGAAGGAATACAAATTTTATGTTTTAACCCATGCCATTTTAGAAAACTTCTGCTGACTTTTCTCCTCATTTCTGGGCAATACTAATGCAAAAAGGGGAGAGAGTGTTTTGGTTTGGTTTTGGTTAGCCCGGTGGATGGAACTGATATAACTGCAGTAAAACACAGCCTTTCAGTTGCCAGAGAGCGCTGCTCTGCAGGACTACCTGAGCAGAATAACATAACGCGGGCTGCACAGGCTCTGCCTCCCCAAACCACATCCCACCTTGAACAAAAAGAGGAGCTGCAGCCCTTGCCTAGATTCAGAGAGGAAATCCAGGAATTTTGTCCTGCATGACACCTGCATTTTTCTTGCTGAACTTTCTTATTAAACAAACCAGGCGCACATTTACCTGAGGAAATGCTGTGGCCTTTGCAAGATCTGGCCACACAAAGCCTCCTGTATCAGACTGAGGAGTTTTTCCCTGATTCTGAGGTGATGTTTGGAGGCCGGATAAAGAGCCACCTCGGAGGCTCCGGCAGCAATGCCCCATGGAGGGCTCCCTGCTCGGAGCCCGCTGGCATTCCCGCTGCTTGCCACGGAGGACAAGCACCTACCACATCTGATCCYGTGTTCACGAGAGCCAATGGGCAATTTGGTCTCCATAAAGTCTGCCGAGCTGTCAAACCTGCCACCGATCCCGGTGGGCACAGACCTGTCCTTCCGAGCGTGGACCCACGAGCTTGCTGCTTTTAAGGTCCTCGCGGCAATCGCGTGGTCTTTCGGGGACGAAAGCACCCACAGAGGTGGGTGCAAGGAGGGGACCCGATGCTTGATAGTGGTTTGGTAGCATCTGCAGCCTGCACTAGAAGTGGAAATGAGATTTTGAGCCTTGACACCATTAAAAGTCCTGCCCGTGCTTTATTCTGAAGCAGATATAACCTAATATCAACGTAGGCCTGCGAGGCAGTGTGCACGCTTCTGTGCCGGAGCCAGGGCAAGCGCAGCAGCTCATTGAGAAAACTCCCCACTTTGCCACAGGGAGCCCTCGGCATCTGCTCCGGGTTTCATTAGCAGCCAATGCCTTGTCATCACAAACAGCACAAAGCCCTGGGAGACGCTCAGGGCCTCTCCAGCCCAGGTGCCGGATGGTTTATCCGCCCGAAGTGCCTCTCTCCGAGCATCTCTGGCACTTCACTTAGCAACAGGGTCAAGAGCATGATGCAAATGAGTAAGAAATGGGCAGGAATTGCCCCTAAAGCCCCACGCAGAGCTTTGTTTCCTGCAGGATTTCTGYTGAAACCACGGGTGTAGCGCCGCTGTGAATGGAAGGAGAAAGGCTCCACAGGCTGCTTTGTACATTAAAAAGTCAGCTGGATTCAAAATCAAGGTCAAACTCCCTATTTAACTAACCAAACAGAAAGACAAAAACACTTTCAAGCTTTTAAGCCTAGGGAAGTGAGCGTGTACATATTTTTATCAGACTAATGATCCCCAGGTACGAAGGTGCACGCGGGAAAACAATAGGAGCTCTAGTGGCAGTTCTGCCAGTATAACTGTAAAAAGAGGGGTTTTTTTATTATTTTGGGGTTTTTTTCTAATGAGGTAAAAATCATTTCTGACAGTGCAGCTCCTCAGTTGATTTTTATGGCATTAATTTCAAAAGGAAAAGAAATAAAAGAAAAAATAGCGTCTTTCTCCTCTCACTGCTTCACAAAGGAGCCCTGCAAATCATRGGCATGCAGGGGTCATCTCCAGCCCTGCCTGTTCCCTGACGCTCTGTGGGTCTCCTCACTGGGAAGGACACCTGGATAAGCTCCCTCTCCATGGGGAGGACACCTGGACAAGCTCCGGACTCCTGAGGAGCATGCGGAGCTGCAAGCCCTGGATCAGCAGGGATGCTGGGGACAGCAGCTGGRTGAGGAGAGGCACCTCTGCTGTGTGGGTGCCAAAGGCTCTCTGCCAAAAAAGAAAAAGCGAGGGCACCAAAGCAAYGGTGCGAGCTCTGAGGCTTGTGCCCGTGAACCAGAGAGCTGCAGCACGTGATGGGTCTTCTCGATGCTGGGACATTTCTTGGAGACTCTTTCTCCAATGGATGCAGGGCAGGGTATGAGCGTGTTCCTGGTCTCACTCGCAGCTGTGAGTGAGGATCAGGGTCCTCAGGGTCTGTGACGTGGCTCGTGGGAAGCCTGGATGCCTGGGAAAACGTTGGAATGAGGTCCTGAGCGGTGCGAATAGGCATCATCTCAGCGCAGGGCCTGGGGTCGCAGCCTCTGCCCACTGCCCATGTGCCCAGGGCTGGGTGGAACCAGCCACCAGAGAGGACACCAAGGGGAGCCCATTCTGAGTTCAGCTGTACATCCCTACACCTAAATCCCCTAGTAATTGCAAATTGGAATCAAGAAAGCAAATTCTTGTGAATTAAGCTCCTGATTCTGGATTTGTTGTGCTTTGCTTTACTCAGAAAGGAAAGAGGACTGCTCATTTTCCCCATTTAGTGTGGAAAATCTGCAGGACTGCAGCCTGACAGGCCAGAATTTAAAAGATATGTCAGTGCTTACAAGTGAGCCTTTAATCTATAGGATCAGTGAGACCTATAG